AGAGAGAGAGAGAGAGAAAGAGATGAGAGAGAGGTGAGAGGGTGGCGTGCCACCCTTAAGGGATAGAGAGAGATTAGATATGTAGGGAAAGTGTAAAAATTTAACCCCTATTTATAAACTTTCTCTAAGGTTAGAGTTTCTTAGAGTTAGCCATCTTTATGGAGATTAGATCCAGACTATTGATCATTGAAGACCTGTGGAATAAGCAATCATGATTCAAAAGAAGGTGTTGGAATCTTTGACATATTTAACCTAATCTCATCAATTAAAATTAATGTGGAGAATATATTATACTGGTTTTTCTTTTCTATAATCTTCTTAAACATATTTTAACTTGAAAATCAAATCTCTTAATTTTCAAAATTTTCCCTTTTTGTTTCAATCAAAATATCTGCAAAGCACTTTCCATAAATTTCAATCAAAAGTGCATGGCTTCTTTCACAAGCCACTAGAATAGAAAAGTTCTTTCTTATGTGCAGCATGCTCCTTATGGAGCCCAAAGTGGACCCCATGCACCTCCTCACATGTGTTATTTTAGTAGGCGCCAAGGAGTATAATAGCCCCCCATATGTAATATTAATTTTAAAACAAAAAAAGATTTTTGAAAAAATTTATTATTGTATTTTTTTTTTTTGAATATTTAAAATATTTTTTAGCTTTATTTATAAATCCATTTTGTGAAAAAAAAATATCCAGAGACTCCAAATTATTAAAACTATTAATCTAAAAATCATTTAATATCAAAATAATTAATTCTAAATTATTTTGATGGGATTTGGATCCAACTATGTTAAAAAAATATTAATTATGTTGAAGCACTCAATCTTCAACTATGGACTATAATCCACACTCACTTTTTCAAACTGACCCATTGACCGTCATGGGGGTTCATGATTGAGCTACCAAAGTCAGCTAATAGGTGAAGGGATACAATCATAATCTATGGATTACAAGTTTTCCCTTAGAGACAAGTCCAAAGTCACAGACTTGGTGCAACCACAATTATATGATGCATATGGATAATCTCTTTCACATGTATATATATCACCCTCAATGGTGATTCACTTTCCCAATACGACTATCATATGTACAATGTTGTGTAATGGTTCAATGATGAGGTTTAAGACAATACTCTACCCTAGGCAACTCCAACCTCATGAAAGGATGACCCTGCTAACCCTCATCCGTTGTGCTTTATGCCCAAGTAATCAAGGGTTTTCCTAGTCCGACTGGCCTAGCACGTTAAGCCAAGTATAAGCATTGGCAAATAACATTTGCCTATCTCGATCCCTCTGGACTATAATCTTTTGGTACCTCTGAACCACAGTTGGTCCCTCTAAACCACAATCTCTTGGTTCCTCTAGACCACACTCCTACTGGAATTCTTTGTTCTACTATATTAAGTATTGATTACATGTTCTCATAAGGCATTTAATGGCCACATAAACCCAACAAAAATAACCTCTTCATATGAAAGGGGATTATTCAACCACCTTAGCGATTTTCTAAAGTAATTTTACCTTTTATTTGATATTTTCCCTTGCTTTTCTACTTAATAGTGCTTCTTATATTAGGATATATTTTCCTACATATCAGGTTTATTTACCATAAGCAAGAAACTAAGGTAAGAGAAGGTCTTCCCTCAAATCCAAGGGTCTTCTAGTTGAATGGTAGGATTTCCCTCTCTAGAAATTTAACATTGTTAAACAGACTACCACTATTTTAAGTGACCAAATAACCCATGGAGATGTTGTCATAAGAAAACTCACATACGCCAACAAAGACCTGCATGTTTGGTTCGCGTTAAAATATTTCCACATAAAAAAATTTTCTCATATAGTTAAGTGTGGGAATATTTTCATATAAATAGGTCTTAGTGCATCTTTTCACACCAATTGGCAACTAATTGATGAAAAAATATTCCCATACTTAACCGCATGAGAGCTTTTTTTTATGTGAAAATATTTTCTAAAAAACATTTTCATACGAACCAAACGTACTCGATTGTTTGCTCTTCTCACATATTTAGAAATGCCTCCCCAAATCCTCAAAATGGAAATTTTAGAGGATGTAGTTCCTTTAAGGCGTAGGCTTTAGGAAAACAAAGTAAAGCCTCACCTCAAATCTTCGCCTCGAAAGTACTTTGGGCGTTGGAAATCTTCAAGAAAGCTTTAAAATTAATTTTCAACATCGACTATAAAATTTGAAACTCAAAATATGATACAGATATTACAGATCTATGAACACTTATTTTTAGGGCCAAATAGATGGTCTAGGGCTAGTTTGGATGTACCGAAAATTAGAATATTTTTGGATTGCAATTCCAAAATCTTTGGATTTTGATTGTTTGGACAACTGTACTTTCTTGCCAGATTTTTAGATTGAAAGGAAAAAAAATCTCATATCAAGACAAAAAAATGCCATCCAAAAAAATTTTTTTGGCTTGAGTCGCGTTTCACGTGCTTCTCTCTCTCTAACCCTTACGCTCTTCTCTCTTTTCCCCACGAAACCCTTCTCTTTCTGTACCCAGTGGCCATGGCCCCAAACTTCCTCTCTCCCATCGCCCCAAACTTCTTCTGCGAAACCCTTCATTCTCTACACCCAATGGCCCCAAACTTCCTCTCTCCCATCGCTTCAAATTTCCTCTGCAAAACTCTTCTCTCTCTACACCCAATGGCCATGGCCCCAAACTTCCTCTGCGAAACCCTGCTCTCTCTACACTCAATGGCCATTGCCATGGCCTTCGATCTCTCTCTACACCCAATGGAGAGCGATGCCTGATTCTTCTTTTAAGAGAGAAGCATCTTTGTTGTAACCCAAGGAATAGAGAGACTGGATCAAAACCCTAATGAATTCATACCTCCTTATGAGCCTTGTTGATCCCTATGTTTGTAAAGGAAAATCATCCATGGAATTTGAGATTGTGAATTTTTTGGGGCGCTTTTGTGGCGATAGGACCTGCACTTCACCATCTCTCATATTGCCTATTCTTAGTTCCCATGCGCTTCTTTCTCTCTCGACTTCTATTATGGTTGCTTTGTGGGTTCAGATAGTATTTTTCAATTCTCTCTCTATAAAAACCCCAAGAGCCCCCAACCCTCTCTCTCTCTGGAAACCCTCTCTCTCTTTAGAAACCCCAACCCTCTCTCTCTTTAGAAACCCCAGGCGGACCCAACCCACTCTCTCTCTAGAAACCCCAAGTCCGCAGCCGCTTCCCAACCCTGTGCTCCTCTCATTTCTCTTTCTTTCTCTTGTGAAATCCCAGCTTTTCTGTCAAAGGAAAACTTAGGTTCCAATCTTCTCACTTTCTTTCACTGAACCCAATTGTTCCCTACCCTCGATTTCCCCTCTTTACCCATAGAATGCGAGAACATACGGACATGAGAATTGTCATAGGTTTATGGGCTATTAAAGGAGAGCATGCCTGACATTTCACAAGAAGAGAAGTGGCTTCCAATTCCACAACAAAGGCCTCATAAGGTCGTGTTCTCTAAATTTGATGGTGGATTTTGCAGGGTTAACCATCGCCCGAGCTTCTCCTATGCAAAGCTTCCTAAAAGGGCGAGAAGTGTTGGTTCTTGGATCCTCTCCATCCTTTCCCTCTCTCTCTCTCTCTAGAAATGCAGGGGGTTTGAGAGGCATCGGGAGAAAAGGGGTAGGGGCAAGCACAGTGAAATTCACTGGCCCTAAGGTTTTTTTTTTTTTTGGACAAATAAATGAAATTATACATCCCAACAGTTTACCACTTGAGATGGAAAAAACTTGCATTTTTGTCGCTGTGAATATTTTTTTCTTTGACATGCAAAATGATCCTTAGATAATGTGTTACAATATACACTATTTATAATATTTGAAATGTGTTTCAATATATAGTAGTTTTAGGATTTGAAATCCTATTTTTTTTTACTACCATAATGGTCATGGTTGAGATGATGGATTTGAAGGTTCTTTTATACCAAAACTATAAATTTTTTATGAGTTTTAAGGTGAGACTTTATTTATTTTGTTAGAGCTGCAACCCTATCAAAACCTCTTCCAATTTTAAAACCAAATAGTTTAATTGGAAGTTAAAATATTAGGTGATACAATACCTCTTCCAATATTAAAACCAAATAGTTTAATTGAAATTTAAATATCAGCTAACCAATAAACTTTCTCCGAGAGTGGCGGTCATTCAATGGGAGGAAAGTTTCTTGGTGAGGAGGAGGGGAAGAGGACTGTATAAGAAATGGGGAAGAAGAACCCACCCCATTTCAGTAGATTGCTCAGTATCTATCTCAACTCTATCGTATCCAACGAAAAAACTCTCCTGTCTTCTCTCTCTTCTTCTTTAACCACCACTCAAACGAACTCCATTTTCAGCGAAACCTTCGCTTCAGCGCCGTCTCCTTCTCTTTCTTCCTCCTCTCCTTCTCCCTCTTCTCCCCCAATTTTTTTCAGAGACAATGGCCTCATAAACCGAATGTGCAGAGAGAAGAGATTCAAAGAAGCCGTCGATCACCTTTGTCAACAAAAACGACTTAGAGAAGCCATTAATATCCTCAACCTCATAGACCCCTCAAACCCACACCAGTTCGCACCAATTTATGCCTCTCTTCTCCAAGCTTGCGCGCAGCAAAGGGCTCTTGACGAGGGCAAAACCGTCCATTCCCACATGCTCAGCTCCCCTTCCTTTGAACCAGGCCTTTTCCTCTTCAATCGCCTCTTAGACGTGTACATAAAGTGTAACAGCTTGAATCAAGCTCGCCAGTTGTTTGATGAAATGACCCAAAAGGATATTTGTTCTTATAACACTTTAATTGCAGGCTACTGTAAAGTGGGTGATCTATGCAATGCTAAGAAACTCTTTGATGAAATGGATCAGAGAGATAATTTCTCGTGGAGCTCGATAATCTCTGGTTATGTTCGCCATGGAAGTCCCAATGAAGCTCTCTCCATTTTTAGAGAGATGAAGCAAAATAATGAATTGGGTCTTAACAAATTCACCGCTTCGAGTGCTTTAGCAGCTTGTGCTGCCTCTTCTTCACCAAACCAAGGAAGAGAACTGCATGCCCATATAACGAGAACTGGGCTTGAATCTGATGCAATAGTTTGGAGTGCTCTATCTGATATGTATGCAAAATGTGGGAGTATCACAGAGGCAAGATATGTGTTTGATAGGATTCTAGAGAGAGATACAGTAGCTTGGACCACCATGATAGGGCGTTATGTGCAGGCGGGCCAGGCATCAGAAGCTCTGCAACTCTTTTATGAAATGGTGAAACAAGGGGATTCGAAACCTAATGAGTTCACTTTTGTAGGAGTATTGAGTGCATGTGCCATGAAAGCCGCAGAGAAGCTAGGTAGAGAGGTCCATGGATACATGGTTCGAGCTGGTTTTGATCCATCAGGATCATCAGTTAGTGCACTGGTCGATATGTATGCCAAATGTGGCAACATAAAAAGCGCAGAAAACATCTTTCAGAGCATACCTAATCCTGATTTGATCACTTGGACAGCGATTATTAGTGGCTCCGCGAAAAATGGCAGGGACTTAGAGGCCCTCCAATACTTTGAAACTTTGCTAAATTTAGGCAAAAAACCCGATCATGTAACCTTTGTTGGGGTCCTAACAGCTTGCACTCATGCTGGTTTAGTCGAAAAGGGTCTTGAAATCTTTGTCTCAATTAAAGGAAAACATGGGCTTGAACACACTAGTGAACACTATGCTTGTATAGTTGATCTTTTGAGCAAAGCTGGTAGGTTTAGAGAAGCAATGGCGATAGTAGATACCATGCCTATGAAACATAATAAGTTCTTGTGGGCTTCACTGCTTGGTGCTTGTAGGACTCATGGGAACCTCGAGTTAGCAAGAAAAGCAGCTGAGGCTTTGTTTGAGATTGAGCCTGAGAATGGGGCGACCTATGTTACGTTGGGAAATATTTATGCAGATGCGGGGATGTGGGAAGAGGTTGAGAGGGTGAGAAGGTTAATGGAGGACAGAGGCATTGTGAAGAAACCAGGTTCGAGTTGGATTGAGAGAGAGGAAGGAGAGGTCATGGTTGAATCGTGAAAGAGGTGAGTGATATGTGGTTTCATTTTTTAGATACTGCAATAAAACCATTTATCTTTGGTGTTCCTGCAATTTGAAAACCTCGTCTTCCTAAGCTCCCATGAAGCTGCGTTCCAACCAACTTGTCCTTGTGATTTTGAGAATGGATATAGAGCATTGAAGGAGAAAGGCAACAGTAAATGCCTCTATCTTGGTCATGAATGCATACCCCTGAGGTAGCCATACAACTACTGAGAGTGCAATCACATTTTGTACTTTGAAAAGAAAGCTGACATCTTTGTGAAAGAATCAAAGAGAGAAAGATAACTTTGGGGGCTTCACCTTGAGAGAGAGAGGTGTTGGTGTATTAACAGAGAGAATGAGTTTTATAGTTGGTGTCTTAAGAGAGAGAGAGTTTTGGGGATTTGTAGAGATTGATTTTGGCGTTTACAGAGAGAGATATTTTGAGGGCTTCACTGTGAGAGAGAGCTGTTGGGTGGTTTTACCATGAGATAGAGAGAAAACCCGTATGAGAGGGACAAATCACCAAGAGGAAGATTGGCTGGTGTTTCAGGGTGCTTCCTGGTTCCTGTCATTTGGCCCGTTTAGGTTAAAATTGATGAGATAGATCCTAGATGGTGAGGACGTAGATGGAGAGAGGGGGAAGGCCGGTGCTCTCATTGTGAGATGGCGAGAGGAGGGAGGCCGGAGTTTTGCGACCAAGAGGGAGAAGATCCTACTTGTGGCTGTTAAATTTACATAAATCTGCCTTGCAAGAGAGATGTTTAATTTATAGAAAGCAAATCCAAACAACTAACAAGTAATTCTAAAACCAATCAACACAAGAGACACTGGAATAATCCTAGATTTAATCAACAAATTAGACACTTTGTTAAATATAGCTTGTTAATTCCAATACATTTACATAGCAACAATCATCCTCGCAACATATAATTTTGCTCACTGGAAGAGTAGATAATAAATATAGCTGCTACCACCATGGCAGCTAAGCCGGACACTACAATCTGTTCACAATCAACATAAGATTTGAGCTATCCTGTGTTTCTAACATATGTGCTTCCTATAGTTAGCTTCTCAATAAATGTGAAAAAAAGACTAACATTCTGGCAGGCACATATTTCTTGGATTTCTTGAATTTTGTAGCTGAAATACCAAAGCATAGCCTGCTCCCCTTTACACCTCTTGATCGTATTTAGTGAATCTCCTTCGACAACAATTTTCTGTTGGCTTTAATCTCTACCTCATTTGCAGTAGCATGATCCAGGGGACCTGAATAAGTAAATAATGTGGCAGCACATTGGTCTCTAACCAAACCACCAACTCCAACTATCCGAGGATTACCAAAGGAACTACCATGATAATTAAGTTTGACCATGCTTCTTGTGGTGGCCTCCAAGCATCTTCATAACTTTCACATTGGCAAATTCCTTAAGGTTGCGTAACATGTCAAAACCAGAAATACCTCCGGAAACTTTTGTTATAGAGGGTTAGTCATGCTTTCATTAACTCTTAATAACTCTACGAGCACCTTCCATTCCTTTCTTTCCAGATCTCCCATGAGATGGCAGTAAATGTGGGAAATTGAGATAGTCCGAAACTTCTGCAGCATGCTGCGGTAGTGTGTAGATTCTCATTTGCATCACATCACAAAACCTATACACTATCAAGGAAACCCAAATGAATATAACCTTCAGGTAACAACCTATTTTTTTAGGCTTCCATTCTCTCTTCTATTGGATCTTGATGGCCTAAAGGGAACTGGTTTTCCAATGATGGTATTCCCAGTATAGCCGCCTGTCTCTGTAGAGAAACACCTCTTAAATTCCCTCAATATGGCACTCTTTTTTGTTACCTCTTCTCTAATTGCCATCCATTGCCCTCTTTTAAGGTAAAAGTAATTTTTTACATATTTACGTCGGCCTATTTTATTTTTCTCTTCATAAGACCATTTCTAGATATAAAGTCAAAATCATTTTTTGGGCTAGTTACCTATATTTTGAGTTACATTGGGTCAAAATCATTTTAAATTTTTTTAAAGAGAAGGATAACAACGCAATGTGAACTTTAAAGTCAATAAACCATTGGTCGTATAGGCTCCTGGAAAGCTCTCTCTTTATCCTTGTAGGGCTTCTCCAATTGTTGAAATCAATTATTTGTGCCTTGTCTATTTATGGGCTGCTCTACTTCTTCCTCCCTAGTGGCACTTGCAATATGATTGAATATTGAAAGACCCAGTACAATTACTCGTGGACAGGGCGTCAAAAAATAGGGGCTTACAATTGGTGAGTTGGGAGACTATATGTCAGAAAGCTGATGAAGCCCCTCTCCTGTCCAGGTTCTTCACACTAACATTTTTTCCATTCTTGATCTGGTCTGCCTAGCTTAAAATCTACTCACATGCTTTGAGCGGGATAGCCTTAGGATTGAAAAGATTGCAAGGTAATGTGCCATGGGTAGTTGGTGATGGCAAGCTCGTTGACTTCTAGGCCGTTGACTTCTAGGCTGACACATGGGTATTAGAGAGCGTCATTTGGTAGACGTGCTACGTAGATGTTCACATGCCACTCAGTAGCCCGGCAAAGTCCCAAGGCGTCAAACTATGTCGAGGGCACACCCCAAAGATGGTCTCTCCCACACCTACCTCGGTTCCACTCATTCGCGTCTGCGAGGAGGTTTATTCTGATGTGCTCCAATCAGGACCAGTTGGTATGGATACACTCAACTCCTGTTGAGTTCTCAATGGTCAATGCTTGAGACCAAATTAGACAAAGCAACCCTACTCGGCTAGACTTCAGGGCCCTATGGGAAACTCTATCTCTTCCTAGAATAAAGTGGTTTACTTGGTTGGTCCTGCATTCATGCCTTCTTACCATGGCTCTGCTCCAATCTAAGAGCCTTTGGTCATTAGATTTTCCCTTTTACCTCCAAGGGGAGGAATCCGCTAACCATATTATTATACAGTGTGTGTTTTCACGGGTGCTATGGCGGTCCATTCTCTGGAGGTTCAGTAAAAGCATGTTGCTCGAGCAAGCCCCAACCATGATGATGATGAAACGGCTTAAGTTTCAATTCAAATCCAACGGTATGAAGAATGTCTGGCTCTCCACCTTCTTTACTACTCTTTGGTTCCTGTGGGCAGAGCACAACAGACATATCCATGAAGGCTGAAGGTATTCGAGGGAGCAGCTCCTAGACGTATCATCCATTTCATCAGCAAGCTTGTAAAGGGGAATGGTTGGACATTCCACCCCTTTGAGCTCCACATCTCCACCAACGTCAGGCTTCAGTGGCATGCTAATCCCTCTTCCACCTCGGTCCAAATTGAGTGGTCCCTTCCTGCTATGGGGTACTTCAAGCTCAATATTGATGGCTCACCCCTTGGTAATTTGGATACCAAGGGGTGTGGGGGTTCATCAAAAACAACACTAAAAGCTTTGTAGTGGCCTTTTTCATCCCTCTGGGTCCCACCTCTAACAATGCTGTGGAGTGGCATGCCTTGGACCGGGGCACTTCTCTGATCCAAGAGTTGGACTATTGCCCACTCATCATCGAGAGTGACTCCAAGTTGTTAGTAAACTTGCTCACCCGCCATAACTTTGACTTTGGGAGTAGCTTCGCCTCTGGGAGGCTATGCACCTTGTTTTCCAACGCCCCCTTCGCCGATCATCAATGGTAGAAATCTCACACCTTCCAGGAAACGAACTTAGCTACTAATTGCCTAGCCAAGAGTGCGGCATCTATGGCTTAAGCCACGATATGGTGGGCCCACCTTCCAGATTTTGTAACTCCTTTAAATTTACGGGATTCGGCCAACATCCCCATGCTTGTATGTGTACTACATGTAATTGTTTTTTCGAAAATATCAATTGAAAAAAAAAAGGGTCAGGTAGGGGTTTGTCATCCCCGAAAAAAGACTTTAAATTCAATAAACAAACAAAACCATGATGTCAACTATAAATGCTTTATAAAGAAACAAAACCAAGTTATATGTTCCTAAGAATGGTAATGACATAATATCTTTTTATTGTTCGGTAATCATCTAAAAAAAAATTCCTTTATTATCATTTGAATATCAAAATACTAGGAGATCAAAGGACCTAATGCCTTGAGCCGTCTAACTTTACCTTTTAAAGCAGATCCAATGGCCAAAATCTGTTTGTGACAAGAAAAAAAAAAAAGGTCAATGTCTGTTTGGCAAGCTTTCTATACTTCCCCTACCACATAAAATTTATATACTTTCCCTT